CATGAAAATGACGAGAGGTTTAGCTAGGAGAAAAAGGTACGAGAAAAAAGAGATCGAGAATATAAGAGAGAGATACAAGAAGGGGTGTTGTACTCTTTAAGGTAAGTTTCAGTAACACCTACCAAGCCTACAATTATGTAACATATATATAATTTAACAAGGGGAGCATGAGTGGGTCGTGGAGATCGCCGACAAATGAGACGCGGTCTTGACCATATCGTATACGATTATACGATTGGTGGAACACCTAACAGGCTGCGTACTTGGGAGTTGCTGTTATCGAATAGTTGCCATGTGCGAATGTTTGCCTTAGGTGTCGTTGCACTAGTACCACATATTCGACTACTTGTTATGAGAACAAACGAGCCCCTGAAGTCACATCTGAGCTTTGGTGACTCGATTGCTGAGGGTGCATTCTGCGCTCGTGTCATCCGAGCTTCCGGTCATCATTTGCCAGCATTTCAGAACATCAGGTCTTCCGAAATGGGGCGAATGATGACCGGAAACCCGAATGACACGACCGCAGAATGCTTCCTGAGACGGTGTTTTCTGCCGAACCCTGGCAAACTCGTCAGACAGACCGAATTTTCCGTCACAGGGTATAGTATACAGACCGTACACCACCACATCGTCAGATTTTCATCTTTCCCAGTTGGTGGAAACAGTCCTTTGGGCAGCCTGAGCAGATGGACTGGAAAGCTGTCGTGAAGAGAAACTACAGCACTGTACCCAGCCAATCTGATGGACTGAACTCCTGCTCTTCCACCCAGCCGCCTCCGCCGCCGGAGTGCTGCGTCTGGGTTGAAGCTCCAGCGGCCACACGACCATGGTTCGCACGCTTGACCAAACCAAATCACTCCGCCTGGAGCAGCAGCTACGGATCCAGCCCGAAGCTACCGAACACTTCCGGCCCGTAAGGCGAAAACCACCAAACTCTTGCCGTGGCTAGCAACCGAGGCGGCTAAATCATGTCTTCCGCACCTCCTAGGTCTGGCGCACTCCTCCCAAGCCGTCTGTCCAAGACCGTAACCGAGCCCAGACTTCACAAGCCTCTCTGTTCACCAGATATTGCGCGCCGCCATTTCAGTCGCGGGGTCTCGTCCCCTGCCACCTATTCCGTCGCATCCAATCCAGTACCACGAGCCTTTCGCATCAAGATTTCCCTCTTGCTTGTAGCTTCGCGAGGTGTCGTGCACCATCGCCACCCGCGTGCCAACCATTCCGTGCCTCCCAGACCGTGCGAGCCAACCTTGCCGAACCATTACACCAAAACACCGAAGCCAGAGTCCAGCCTCGCACGTCTCAGTCACCATCTCTCCCTGATCTGTGGCTCGGTCAAATCTCCGGGCCGGAGTCATGACGAGGGACTTGCCCCACGCCTTACCTCAGGCGTCCCTAGCCTTTCAGGTTGCTATGTTCAGGGTTTTTTGGTGGTGCATTCCTCCCCTCCCTCTCTCACAGCCACTTTTGTCAATGCATCTTACAGCTCTACAGTGTATGCATGTACACCAATCAGACGATGTGTTGGCTTGGCTCAGGTAAGCACCCACACCACCACCACCCATATTCCACCATGCTCGCACCACCACCGAACATCACACAGAAACACATCGGGCAGCACCAACAGGGCGACAGACAGACCCCTCCTTCCCTCCCTTCCCCCGAACCTCCCCTCCGTCCAACCATGCCTTCCTCCCAGCCATGTATTCTACCCCATTTTCTCCTCCAGCCTCGACTTTCCGCATTTTCCTCCGATTTTTCCCTCCGTGATCTGCTTGCCGCTGCAACCACCCAGATCAGACGTACAGGCTCCGCAACTGTCGCCAGCTGGAAGCACATACTCATGCGTTCACCTTACTATGTTTAGCGGCGTGAAGTGGACCAATTGCCGATGGTCATGGAAAGAACGGGAGAGGGTCTATGTTGCTAGTGCCGGTCTCGTCACTAAGTTAACCAGTCTCTAGCACGCTACGTAGCCTTTCACTCTTTCACTCCTAGGGCCAACAGTCATGGTTGTGACAGCACGGTGGACAGCACGTTAGGTTGTGACAGCACGTTAGACGCAGTCCTGATACGTCAGATGAAAGCTCCTTGCTCTGGCCGCTTCTCATTATTCTCGTAGTTATTAGGTTTCGAGCTTCCAGTTTCTCGCTGGAGCTTTCTGCTCTGTAGCTTCCTGAGACTGAACCCTTGCCTCTGCTGTAGCAGCAGGCGTCTTTCGTCGCCCGCTTTTCGGTGCAACTTCACGAGGGATTTTCCCGTTTTGCTTTCTACCATGGCGCTGGTTCAGAAGCCCGTATCGGATCACTCGGAAGACGAGGACAGCGCCTCGAACTGTTCGCTCGATCTCGACACTCGCACGGGTGGTAACCCGTCGCACGCGGACACGGCGACGTCGTCGGCGTCGTCGTCAGCGTCGTCGTCGGAGAACCTGATTTCGCTGCTGCCGGACGACTGCCTGGCGTCCGTGTTCCGCCAGCTGAACCCGGCGGACTTGGCGTCATGCTCGCTCGTCTGCCGTAGATGGATGAGGTGAGACTAACTCCCTTCATATGATTTACAAGGTAGCAGCAAGGTAAGACCGCCATTCGTACATAAGTTGATACGTTCCATTGACGTTCCGTCGACGTTCCGTTGACGTTCCGTTGACGTTCCGTTGGCGTTCCGTTGACGTTCCGTTGACGTTCCATGGGAGATACTAGATGAGTTCATGTCTGCTCTAGTGATGATTCTGTTTGTCCATGGCTCCCTTTGATCCGACGGCACCCATTGCACCCATCCCGTCGCGCCTCCCTTGCTCTCGGCTGTGGCTACCTGCGTTCTGGCCCAAACCTTTTGCTGAGGCCCTTTCTGAACCTACTCCCGAACCTGTTCCCAAACTTGCTCCCCAAATTGCAGCACGGACTCCGAGTCTCGGTCGAACCTGTCGTTGCGCGCGGCGACGGAGCTGACGCAGCAGCTGCCGCGGCTGTTGGAGCGGTTCTGTGCGGTGCAGAAGCTGGTGCTGAAGTGCGACCGCAACGTGCAGAGCGTCGATGACGCGGCGCTCACGCTAGTTGCGGAGCAGTGCCTGCTGCTGCGGAAACTGAAGCTCAAGAACTGCAAGCAGGTCAGTCTGGTTACCACGTGCTTGTAACGGGACTTTCGATGACGCGGCGCTTACCCTCGTGGCGGAGCAGTGCTTTCTGCTAAGAGAGCTCAAGCTAAAAGCTGCAAGCAGGTTAGTCAGGCTGTGTGGTTACCACGTTCTTGTTACAAAAGTCGACGATGCGGCGCTCACGCTGGTCGCGGAACAGTGCCTGCTGCTAAGAAAGCTCAAGCTAAAAAACTGCGAGCAGGTCGGTGGGGTGAGGCGGCGGTTGGGTGGGGTTATTATGTTCTCGAGAAGTCTCGACATCCCTACTTGCTCCGCTCAATCCTTTCCCTCAGCCTTCTTTCCAAGTGACTCGTCTGCGTCTCCCCACCTGTCGTCTCCCCACTGTCATTTCTTCCTCTCCCCCCCATCAGGTCACCGACGACGGCATGCAGCGCTTCACCCGTGCGTGCCCGCACCTGCGCAAGTTGTTTGTCGGGGAGGGGGTCTGCTGCTCCCTTAGCAAGATGGATACAATCGCCTGATGTTTGCACCTCTTTGCTTTCCCAACCCCCCTTCCCCCTCTCCCTTCCCCCTTCCCCCTTCCCCCTTCCCCCTTTCCCCCTTTCCCCTCTCCCCCTTTCCCCCTTTCCCCCTTTCCCCCTTTCCCCCTTCCCCCCTCCCCCCTCCCCACCATCAGGTCACCGACGAGGGCATGCAGCGCTTCACCCGCGCGTGCCCGCATCTGCGCAAGTTCTCCGTGGGGGGCTGCGGCTTCGGCACGCGCGGACTCAACGCGCTGCTCTCAAACTGCCCGCTGCTGGAAGACCTCACGGGTGAAACGGAGGTGCGTTCCCTGCGCCGAGTGAGAACGCGGTTGTATGCTGTTTGAGCCGACGTTTGGAGCGCGCCAAGCAGCGCCACACGGCACGCACGCGCGGACTCAACGCGCTGCTGGGCAACTGCCCGCTGCTGGAAGACCTCACGGTGAAACGGACTCAAAAGTCACGGACTCACGGCACTCACGGCACCTTTTGAGGCTGCTCGACTCAAAAGTCATCTCGTTCCATGCGAAGGCGGGCGGAGGGTGAGCGGAGGGGGTGAGGGCGCGAGCGTGGTGACTTTTGAGTCGACTCTAAAGTCACGGTGAAACGACTTTTGAGGCGCCTCAAAAGGTGACTTTTGAGTCGACTCTAAAGCCACGGTGAAACGGAGGCTGCTCGACTCAAAACTCATCTCGTTCCATACGAAGGCGGGCGGAGGGTGAGCGTGGGGGGCGAGGACGCGAGTCTGCTTTTGAGGGTGAGCGGAGGGGGTGAGGGCGCGAGCGTGCCTATAGCGAAGGCATGCGGGGCGAAGGCGCTGCCCCGTTTCTTGTCCACCCACCCGTTACGCTCGCCTCTCCTCCTTTCTCTCCCTCCCTCCCCCACTCCCCCTCCCCTCTCCTTCCATTCCGCGCTTTTTCTGTCGCTTTCGTTGGCCTCCCCATCCTCACCTCTCTTTATCCCCGCCCTCCCTCTTCCCCCGATTCTCCCCCCCGATTCTCCCCCCCCCCCCCCCCCCCCCCCCCCCCCCCCCCCCCCCCCCGATTCTTCCCCCCCGTCCTCCCCGCAGCATGAAGCCCCCCGCGGATCGTCCCCTCGAAGCGCTCACCCCCGCCAACCTCAAGCTGCGCCGCCTCTGCCTCAAGGACCAATCAAACTCGCACATCTGGACGCCGCTCCTCGAAGCCTGCGGCAATCTCGAGACGCTTATTCTGGCGCGCAACGGCGGGTACTGGGGACCGCGTCTTAGAATCTTCTCTCGGGCAGAAACGCCTGCCCGAGCTCTCGCAGGTGTATCTGGAGCGGGTGCAGCTGACGGACCGCGGGCTGCAGGCCGTGGCGCGCTGCCCGAAGCTCGAGGCGCTCGTGGTGGTTCGCACCCCGGATTGCACGGACGCGGGAATGGCGGCGATTGCGGCGGGATGCACGGGGCTGCGGCGGCTCCACGTGGAAGGGTGGGCGCCGGGGCATATAGGCGACACGGGGTTAGGCGCCATCGCGCGCTGCTGCCGGGATCTGCAGGAGTTAGTTCTCGTGGCGCACTCGTGCACCGCGGCTAGTCTTAAACCGCTCGCGACGAACTGCCGCGGGCTGGAGCGATTAACTCTCTGCTCCTCCTCCGCCATGGGGGATCTAGAAATGGCGTGTCTGGCGTACGGGTGCCCGTCTCTCAGGCGCCTCTGCGTGAAAGGGTGCAGTCGGGTTACCGACCTCGGGATTATCGCGCTCGCGAACGGGTGCCCCTCGCTACAGCGGCTGAAAGTTCGCCGGTGCTTCAATGTTACCCCGTCGTCGCTGGACTTTCTGCAGAAGCAGCGGCCCGGGCTGAGTATCACGCAGGAGCGCACGCGATCCTCCTCGTCCAGGGGGGAGCATTCCGCCCATAGGGGGGAGCATCATGGCGCACACGGCGGCGCAAAACGGCGGCGCGCGTGGCGCCGCGAACGGCGCGGCGGGAGGAGGGGTGGTGATTGCGGAGCCGGTTGATGGGTTGATGCTGGGCGGCGGAAGGCGCAGGGCGGGTGGCGCGGGGGGAGAGCACGGCGGAGCGCGTAGGGGCGAAGGCGCAGCAGCGGGGGAGCAACAGCGCTTAGTGCGCGACTTCCCCGGGGTGCACGGGCTGGGGCGCGCGGGCGCAATGGGCGTGGGAGGGGGAGGCGCATTTGGCGGAGGGGGGCAGGGGGGCGCCACGACGAGCAGTTAACCGCGACGGCCGTGGGGATGCGCTTCCTTGGGGCCATGGGGGGCGGGGGAGGTGGAGGGGGCGGAGGGGTCGGAGGAATGGAGGGCGGACACGCGCATGGGGGAGGGGCGGGCGGAGCTTTAGGGGGGGGAGGATGGGGGTGGGCGGAGGGACCATGAGTAGGAGCGGCGGAGCGCGCACGCGCTTGGCTATGATGGCAACCACCTTGCGGAGGCTCATAGGCGGAGGAGGCGGAGGAGGCGGGGGAGGGGGAGGTGCAAGCGGAGGGGCAGCAGGTGCGGAAATCGGCGCGGGGGGCAGTAACGGCAGCGGAAGCAACCAGGCAATTACCAGCAGCATGAGCGCCGGCGCTATTCTGGGTGGTTATTTCTTAAACGAAGGTGACAATAACGAGGGAGGAGGAGCAGTTGCAGCAGGAGGGGCCTTAGCTTCTAGCTCCTCCTTCCGCCATGGCTTGGCGATCGGAGGCAATAGGAGCATCGGGGTTAGCGCCAGTAGCGGCACGACGGGCGGGGGTGGGGGTAGCATCTCGGCCGTTGGATCTGGAGGCATGGCTGGTGTGGGGCATGTGGGTAGTAGCTCGAGTGCAGACCTTGCGGGGGCTAGCACTGGGCTGGGTAACGGCAGCTCTGCTGCTAGTACTGCTGCTGCTGCTGCTGGTGGTGATGCTGCTATTGGTGGTAATCTAAGTCTAGGAGGCAGCAGAAGCGCCAGGAGTTTAAGAGCCAGCAGCAGTAGCAGTAGCATGGAGGATCAGGCAGGGCCTAGCGGCAGCGGTGGTGGTAACAGTAGCATCAGCAGTGGTAACCACCGCTCGTTTTCGTTCAATCTCGCGTCACTGCCCATTTCCGGCAGTGGCAACAGCAGCAGCAGCGGCGGCGGCCTCAGCGGCAGCAGTAGCAGCGGCTTTGCACGGGCCACGGGAGGCCCCTCGTTAGTATCACCGCGCGTGTTGTCACACTCCGGAGGTGGGTTGCCCCTGGCGTCCCCATCCCTCTCTCTCTCCTCGTCTCTCTCCCTCTTCTCCCACCCACGGCGCCACTCTCCTCACTCTTCTGCGCCCTCTTCGTCCGCTGCTGCTGCTGCCAGCAGCAGCACCAGCAGCCACAGTGGTGGCAGCAGCAGCAGTAGTAGTAACAACACCAGCAGCCGTGTTGGCAGTGGTGGGGGTGGCGCTGGTGGCAGTGGTGTTGGTGGGAGCAATGTTCGCGGGGGGTCGAGAGCAGCAGCAGCATCAGCAGCAGCAGGAGCAGTAGCAGCAGGAGGGGGGCAGCAGTCGTTGCTGCGGCAGCCGCTGCAGTATCAAATACGGCGGGAGGCACAGCAGGGACAAGCAGTACCAACCGCAGCAGCTTCCCCTGCTGCAACAAACCCTGCTACAGGCACTGCCGACGGTAGGTCCTCGTCTCAGTAGCAGCAGGAGGAGCAGCAGGGGGGCAGCAGTCGTTGCTGCGGCAGCCGCTGCAGTACCCAATACGCCGGGACAAGCAGCAACAACAGTAGCAGCTATCCCTGCTGCAACCAACCCCGCTACAGGCGCTGCTACAGGCACTACTCCATCCGAGCAGCAGCAACAGCAACAGCAGCAGCAACAACAGCAGCAGCAACAGCAGCAGCAACAGCAGCAGCAGCAGCAGCAACAGCAACAGCAGCAGCAACAGCAGCAGCAGCAGCAGCAGCAGCAACAGCAGCAGCAGCAGCAACAGCAGCAGCAGCAGCAGCAGCAGCAGCAACAGCAGCAGCAACAGCAGCAGCAGCAGCAACAGCAGCAGCAGCAGCAACAGCAGCAGCAGCAGCAGCAGCAGCAGCAGCAGCAGCAGCAGCAGCAACAGCAGCAGCAACAGCAGCAGCAACAGCAGCAGCAGCAGCAACAGCAGCAGCAGCAGCAGCAGGTTCAGCGGGGGAAGCAGGGGCAACAGCGGCAAGATTGGGAGCAGCAGTGGCAGCGTCTTCAGCAGCAGCAGCAGAGGGGGTGAGGAACGGAGGAGGGAAGGTGGGTGGCCTTAGCAGGCAGGTCCAGCCACAAGGGTAATCCAGAGGATTGGCGTTGCAGATTGGAGCAGCAGCAGGGGGGCATATTTTGAGCTGAATCTCAAAATACACAGCGCAGGGTGGTGCAGCAGACAGGCATTGCAGATTGCAGGAGCAGCAGGGAGGGGGGTGCGGGAGTGGAGGAGGGCTGGTGGCTCTAGTCGGAAGCGCCACCGCAAGGATACTGCAGGCTGGGCCGCCGGGGGGTTGTTTAAATTTGAAACGTTTCAAAACGCAACGCAAGGATACTGCAGCGTGGGTGGGGATACTGCGAAAGCGTCACTGCGGGGATGCTGCAGGCTGGGTGGCCAGGGGGTGGTTTGGTTTTGAGACGTCTCAAAAAGCACGGATACCGGGGGCTGGGCGGCCGGGGGGTGGTTTAGAGGTGCTGCAGATTGCAGGATCAGTCTCCCTCTCTATTTCTCTCACTCACTCACTCACTCGCAAAATCTCTCCTTCCATGCCTGTTTCCCCTCACTCACTCTCTCACTCTCCCTCACTCACTCTCTCACTCTCCCCCACTCACTCTCTCACTCTCCCTCACCCTCTCAACTTCTTTCCTCCCTTGCTCCAGCACCAACACACTTGTCACCAGCCACTCTCTCACTCCCATTCCCTTCCCACCCCAGTTCTCCACACCCACTCTTTCCTCCACCCTTTTCTCAAATAACTCCCATATGGAGCCGGCATCCCCTCCCCTCCCCTCTGGTGGGTGGTGGGGCTGCAGCAGCTGAAGCCCCACCAGCTGTAGGAGCAGAAATGTTGGGCTGGCGGAGCAGGCAGGGCTGAAGCCTCAGTTATAGCAGGCAGAGCTGCCAGGAGTGGGAGTCCATGCGAAGGCAGCCAAACCAAGACAGCATAGGGTGTCTCCAAGAGTCTGGTCTGGTTCTCTGGTGGGCGATTTTTTAGATGACTCAGAAATCACACATGGGTGTCCATCCAAAGACGACAGTGTGGGGTAGTGCTAAGGGTTTGGTGCTCTGGTGGAAAACGGCTGTGGCTTTGTTCCTCGAGCGTTATGCTTGTGCATGTTTAGTCGTGCTTTTTGTTCATTTTCTAGGGTTTCTCGCTTAAGGATTCCACTCTGAATGGTTTTTCGAATTACCGGTACTGCATGTGGATAGGCCCTCACCTGTCTAGCGCGAAGCCATGTGTTTCAATTGGTTTCTTGTAATACCGGTAATCCGTTGTGAATGTGGACGGAGGGATGTAAACAATACAATATCAACCAATATGGGTAGCAACGAAGTGGCTTCTCGACATTAATTATCCAAGCATGTGTAGCAATAGAAATATGGTGGCGATTCCAGTGAGTGTAGCCATTGAAGCGTGTTTACTGCCTGCCTTATCATCATAATCGGCGTTGTAGTCCCATTCCTCAATATAGTCGTACTCGTAGTCCTTGTCGTAGTCGGGATACACGAGGGGTCTGAAGCCTCTAAACGTCGACTTGGGCCGACGGCCTGACGTGGTGCGGCGGAAATACCTAGACGCTACTATGCTGATGCCGCTGCGGGTCTCCCCCTGCCACGGGGAGCTGCTACTGCTCCTGCTGCTGCTCCTGCTGCTGCTGTGGCTGCTGCTGCCGCGGCTGCTGCTGTGGCTGCTGCTGCGGCTGCTGCTGCGACTGCTGCTGCGGCTGCTGCTGCTGCTGCTGCTGCCTCCGCGGCCTCCCCCTCCGTGTCCGCCGCCGCCTCCCCCGGAACCTTTCATTACCCTCCTAGAGCTGCTGCTGTTGGCGGTTCTGTCAATAGCGGGTATGTCTTGCAATCCGGTTTTTGGCGGGACATTGCTGATGTTGGAAAAGATGGGAAATCGGTCGTGCTGTTTCGGCGCATGTGGAACGGATCGGTTTCGTGGGTTGTTCACAATATCGGGAACTGCACCAGCGAGGATAAACGGAGAAAGTAGCACAAGAAGCGCGCACGCCGAACCCGCGAAGGACTGCGAAGCAGCCATGAGCAGCACGCCCGCAATCCAGCTGAGGCGCAGACCGCAACTCTTCTAGAAACGAGAAACTGAGAGTTCGGTAGTTATAAATGTGTAAGCGAAACTGGCGCGAAGGGAAGTCGAACTGGTGTCGAATTGTGATGCTGGGGGGAAATATAGGCCTAGGTGGCTGGGATGGTTGGGCGGAAGGATGGGGGCAAAGGGGGAGGGGAGAATCTCTGGGAAATCGGGACGTGGGGGATGCGGGGAAACGCGGCATTTTGGGGGGAAGCAGGGGGAATGGCGTGTGGCGCAGGAAATGGCGTATTTTCCCGCGGTGCGCTGCGCTGCCTGGTGATGCAAGGAAAGCGTGGCTGGGAGCGGGGCGTGCTCCTTGCAGGGGCGTTATTCGAGAAGGTTCGGAGTTTTAGGTTCACTATGGAGTCAGTTCCAGAGTAGCAAGTCCAGGTTTCACAGATAAGATTTCCGTTTGTTTCGCGGAGTTCGTGAATACCGAGTAGCCACGAAGGATAATCCAATATTTGAGCCACTTTGCGACTCAGCGACATCCGTCAGAGTTCGTGAACTGTGTGGTAGCCCGCACTTCTGCACCTTAATTGGGTGTGGGTAACCAGACAAGCGTCTGCGTAACTTGGAATCACATTCTCGTTTTTGAATCCTGAGAGGACCAATGTTTGCCAAGCCATGAGGCGAAGCGCGTGCAGGGAGGTTACGTGCAGAACCAAACAAGAGTCCCGAGATTCCGAGATTTGCGAGGTGATGATCTAAAGGGTTACCTGATCGTAAATTCGTCTGTGTTACAGATTTTACTGTAGTCACATTTGTGTAGATATCGTGTCGAAACGTAAAACATGTGAAACAACCCTTCGTAAAATCTGTACTTCGGGCCCAAGCATGGCCTTTCTTCTACGACTTCGACCTGAATATTCGCGCCAATTCGTGTAGACCTTCGCTTCCACGCATGCGCGGACTTCCCCTTCACCCATAGCTCTCCGCGAGGCGCCGCCAATCTCCGCGCATGCCTGCCTACGTAGCTGCATGTCTCACCCGCCAGCACCGTGCTGGGGAGTGACTCCCCTAAACCTCTCCGCCTCTCACGGCGCGCATCGGTCAGTCGTCGGCGTGTCCGGCACATCGCCCCCGCATTCATCGGCGAAACAGAGTCCTGCTCATGGGAAAAAATATCGACTTGTGCGATCCGTTCGTCAGCTGACGCCACGTGGCAGGCTATGAAAACAATGGCGGGGAATGTTCCCCCAGCAGCAACGAAGTTCATCACCTAGTCTTTGCGACGGTTATTACCCAAGTAGGAGCCAAGAGATAGTGCCGATCACAGTGAGGAGGAGTATCGCTATTGAGGCACGTCTACTGTCTGCCTTCTTGAAATCGTTCTTGTCCCATTCCTCGATATAATCCCCGTATTCATGATCCTCATCGTAAACGGGATACACGAGCGGTCTGAACCCCCTGAAAGTCGCCTTGGGCCGCATTCCTGACGTGGTCCGGCGGAAGAAAAAGGACGTTACTATGCTGCTGCCGCGGGACCTTCCCCCATAGCTGCTACTGCTGCTCCCGCCCCTGCTGCTGCCTCCGCGACCCCCCCCGCCGCCGCCGTGCCCGCTTCCCCCCCCTCCCCCGCCCGCCCACCTGCACCACCCCCCGCACCTCCGCCACCCCCCACCACCACCACCACCGCCTCCCCCGCCTCCGCCTCCTCCTCCGCCTCCGCCTCCGCCTCCGCCTCCGCCTCCGCCTCCGCCTCCGCCTCCGCCTCCGCCACCGCCACCGCCACCGCCACCGCCACCCCCAGCACCTCCGCCACCTCCGCCACCTCCGCCACCTCCGCCACCTCCGCCACCTCCGCCACCTCCGCCACCCCCACCACCACCCCTCATTACCCTCCTGGAGCTACTGCTTGGGAGACCGTTAATATCGGAAAAGTATCGTAATTCGGTTTTTGGCTGAACGTTGCTGGTGTTGGTGAAGATGGGAATTTGGTTGTGACGTATTAGTGCATACGGAACGGATCGGTTTCGTGAGTTGTTCACGATATCGGAAACTGCACTAGCGAGGATATGCTGAGAAAGTAGCACTAGAAACACGCTTGTTGTTCCCGCGAAGGGCTGCGAAACAGGCTTGTGCACGCCCATGACGTAACAACAAAAAAAAGGATGTATAATAGGATGAAATATTGAACTTTCCCTCGCGCTTTACCGTTGAATAACGCGCATGCGCGTCTCCGGTGCGTTCGGTTCCACAGCAGACATAGCAGGACCACAACGACGATCAACAACGAACGGAGATTGACATGGTGGAAGGCGCAAAAAAAGGTGAAATTGGACTCTCAACAAATGGATCGCTGTTGGGCGCTTCTCTCTATACTGGGACAGATCTAAACGGGAGGTCGCCATGGGGTGGTGGGGGGGGGAGGGGGAGGGAGTGGGGAGTTGGGGGGGAGTGGGAAAGGGGATGGGACTCGGGAGAGTTTCGGGGGGGGGGTGGGGGGGTGGGGAAGAAGGGGGCGTGGCGTGCGGCGCAGGAAATGCCGTCGGTCCGCGTAGCGCCGCGCTTCGTGCTGATGGAAGGAAACTATTGGGTGCACATGCAGGCGTGTTTAGATCAAGAGCTTCAAGGGTTTAGATCGAAGGGTACTCCACAATGACCACATGGGCACCACACGTCGGCTCAGTTGCAGAAAGGGCAACGGAATTCGCAAAGGGCAGTTCAAGTTTCAGGTATGGTAACTGTCGTCAGTTTCGCAAAAGCTGCATACACGAGGACAACCCAGAGTTACCGCCCATGACTTTAACCCACGAGTTTTACGCTAACCTTATCGGCTTTCGCACATTTTGATATTGGGTAACCACACAAACTTCTGCGTAACCTGGAATGAAATCCTGTATGAAGGAACGCGCTCCAGGGAATTGGTGCTGCTGCAATGCATCCTCCTAATTCGCCAGGCGAAGCGCGTGCAGGGAGGTTACACGCTGTACACTTAGCCCGCGGTTAAATTACACCCTGAAACTGAGCGGAAGAACTTTGTATCCACCCTGACCATTTCTGAGTGCGTAGACAGTACCCCCTTATTCCTGCGGCCTAAGCTTGGCAGACTCCGCGCGGGCAATTACTTTGAGCACTGCCTAAGCTGATGTCGGGTTTCCTGACTCGAGAAACACGAAATCGAGCAGTAAACGTTGCGTAGAGAAACGAAGAGGGTATCCGGATCTGGTATTTAGGAGCTGCTTTCGGGGGGTGAATACCCTCTGAGCGGCACGCCTTAAGAAAATACTGGGTACAAAAATACCGCAAGTTAAGTGTACCAGGTAAGATTCCTTTGATATGCGAGCAAACGAAGGTTGGTTACCAAATCGTCATTTGTACATGCTACCAAAACTACTCCCATTTGTATGATTTCGAGGTCCTCCTTCTAACACCTGTGGAAAGTGCAAAAGCCATACCCTAAAACCCGCAAAACATTACAGCCCAAATTGGTTCATCCTTCCTACCTTTTGTTATGAATTAATCAGAGTAATAACAGGTAGTGTAAAAAAAGGAGTCGTGATTCAAGAGTGTCGATACAAATGAGGGCCTGGGCATTTATAGGCACGAACATAGCTAGCCGAGAACCATGCGAACAAGTTAGGGTGGTCCGGTTGGCGAAAGCTACGGAAGCGCTGCACGTCTAGGTTTGGGTTCGCAAAGTGGTTCGGGACCGAAGAAGTTGGCCGGGCCGGGACTTCCGAGAGTCGAGGGCGTACGCGCTGTAGTCGAGCCCAGTACGGAAAATGGAATTTCCTTACACCGCCCCCCCTTCCGGAATGAGACTACCCAGATCCAGGACACGTCGTCGGTGTACATAGTCCCGGACAACTCTATTTTCACAGAGTGTAGCTACGGGAATCCAGAGGTCGTCGTCACTTGTGCGATCGACGCGCAACACAAGGAAATCGGCGGCTGCTGTATCTCGATGTCCTCGTACGCGATGAGCGAGAATCTTTGATGGCTCGATCGTTGGCTCGGGTATTGGGTTGACCGTAGGATTAATGTGTTGATGGTCGAGATTGGTCGCACTCGGGATGAACAGTCGCAGGAGACTGACGTGGAACGAATCATGAATTCGCTAGTCGGTCGGCAGTTGCAGCTGGGCGGTGACTAGTGTCACCATGCGAATGATGCGGAAGGGCCCGCAAAATCTTGGTCGTAATTTATTTGGGAGGGGGATTCCCATATTCCTGGTGTCGAGCAGGACCAATTGTCAAGGGACAAGTGTTAAGTATCGGCGTCGTCGGTCAGCTTGCTGCTTAGCCCTATGGTTGGCTTTTAGGATGGCATCGGCGGCATTTTTCTATGACTGACGGAGATTTTCGACGAACAACTGAGACCTTGGTGCCGGATTTCTATCGGTGGTGATAGGGGGGTTGTCGAATCTATCACATAATTAAGGAAGAACGGGGACTGAGTAGTCGTGGCCGATGGGGCTGTACGCAAACTCGATCAAGGGAAGGGCGTCTTCGCATTGGGCCGGGTCTGTGCATGTCGTGCGAATCAGCTGCTCCATTGTCTGATTGGTGCGCCCAGTCTTACCGTCCAAATGCGGGTGGTACGCCTTGGATAGATGCAGGCGTCTGCCGTAGTGGTGCCAAGTTTTTGTCCAGAAGTTGGACGTGAGCCGTGGGTCACGATTCGTGACTCGTAGGCGATCGGTTGTAGGCCTTTGACGAAGTCCTGTAACAGGACTGCGCCAACGGCTAGATCGCTAGTGTCGGTGATGAGCTCGAATGGATGGTGAGGATATGCAATCTGAAGAACCGGAGGTGTAGTCAGGAAAAGATTGAGCCTTTTGAACGCAGCCTGCTGCTTTCCCCTCCACTAAAAAAACGTGCCATTCTTCAAGAGATCCGTGAGAGGGGAAATTACCCCCGCCATGTTCGGAATGAAACGGCGGACGTAATTAACAAACCCCATGAAACTCTGAATTTCACGGAGATTAGCCGGCGGCTTCCAGTCTTGGATTGTCGCGATTTTCTTCGGGTCGAGTTTAACACCATCGATGGAAATCATGTGACCCAAAAACTCCAGTTCGTGTTTTAGAAACTCGCATTTAGAGCCCTTGGTGATGAGTCAGTTCTGCTGCAGGAGAGAGAAAACAGCTTCCAAATCCTTTAAATGGTGCTCCTGGGTTGTGCTGTAGACGAGAATGTTGTCGAGGTACACGATGACTCACTTATCCAGCAATGGCCGAAAAATCTCGTTCATTGTCAACTGGAATGTCGAAGGTGCGTTTGTTAAGCCGAATGGCATGACCGTGTACTTGTTACTCCTGTACCGGGTCCGAAAAGTCGTCTTGTAGTAGTCAGCGTCGTGCACGAGAGGTTGGTGGTAACCGCCGCGCATGTCGATCTTCGAGAAAAATCAGGCCCCGCAAAGTTGGGCGATGAGGTCGTCTGCACGTGAAATGGGGTAGCGAGACTTGATGGTAACCTGATTCAAGGCGCGGTAGTCGATACACATGCGCATACCACCATCTTTCTTCGGTGTGAACATGATCGGAGCTGCAAATGGTGGGGTGCTGGGGCAGACGAAACCTTTATCGAGCAGGTAGTCCAGCTGGTGTCGAAGTTCATCTAACTTAGGCTAAGTCAGCCGCCATTGGGTCCGAATAGTAGGTTGTGTGCTGGGTTCGAGCTCGGCCGCTGAGGTGGCAAGCCCGCCGGTAGGTCGTCTGGAAAAATGTTGGCGTGCTTCCGAATCACTGTTGCCAAATCATCCGGTACAGCTGCGCAGAGTTTGTCGATATCGGTTGGCGTATCGACAGCCGTTGATGCAATCGATTGGATGGGATACAGTTGCGCTCCTCGAATCATCGCTCGCCCGTCCACCAGTCAATGCTCGGGTTGCATTCACACAGCCAATCGCCTCCCTGCAGCATGTTGCACCCATCCAAAGTTGTCGCATGCATCATTGTCGTGAAACTGAAATTTTCGTCACAGGTGACTCACACGTGAGGCACGCGCTCCCAAATCGCCAGTGGACTGGATATGAGTACATGTGGACTGGATATTGTACCTTTAGTGGACTGGATGTGAGTGCATGTGGACTGGATATTGTGACTTCAATGGACTGGATATGAGTGCATGTGCATTGGATATTTGTGTCTTCAGTGGACTGGATATGAGTGCCTGAGCACTGGATATGAGTGCATGTGGACTGGATATGAGTGCATGTGGACTGGATATGAGTGCATGTGGACTGGATATTAGTGCGTGTGCACTGGAGGCGAGTGCATGACCACCGGATATGGGTGCACGTGGAGTGGATATGGGTGCATGTGCTCTGGATATGAGTGCCCGTGCACCGTCCAAAAGTGCTCGTGCACTAGATATGTCGTGGATGTGCACGAGATTCGAGGTCCGCTGTTTAGGAATATGGTTGCACATGCTGTGGGTGCATATGAGTGGTAGCGACATGAATGTGTCAACTGTGGGGACTGGATATGCGTGCTTGGGGCACTACATCTGAGTGCCGCATCTTTATCCACGCTGGTTGGGTGACATGTGTGGCACTTGTTTCCGCCGGGGATCATTCGCCCTACGTCTGCTGCTAGCAGCATATGGCGTGGCATACCATTGGTGTGCAGATTGCCATCACAGCACGCAATTTGTGCACATTGGCTAAGTTGCCACATCCCCACCGCTAGGGCTCATTGCGACGATGCATCGGAGTCATCGATGCAGGCGGCACTAGTGACAGCTCCGCGTCTGCGGGTGTCGATGCATGTCGTGTTGCCGTAACGCACCGTTCACACATGGCGTGACCCTTACCTTCCCACAGCCATGGCGTATCTGGGTGGGCCTAGCTTATCCTCTCACCTCCCTCGTCGTGTGCGTGTGTTCTAGCTCGGTCTTGTGTCTTCATCGCATTCCGAGGATCCCTATTGCCTCTACCTTCCATGCCGATCTGCTAAAGGGGGACTGTCAAGGTGCTTCGCCACCACACCCTCCTAAACCCTGCTGCAGCACTGTGCTCCTAAACCCTGCTGCACCACCGTGCTCCTAAACCATGCTGCACCACTGTGCTCCTAAAACCTGCTGCACCACCGTGCTCCTAAACCCTCGTAGCTTTGGGCGATGGGCGCTATGCTACGGTGAGGATTCTCTGTTGTGACAGTACTGTGTTTGAAGTTTCCGCATGCGCCAGGTTACAAAGCCTTGTTGTGTTACGTGAGATTGCGTGTCTGCTTTCCAACCACACCCCCTCGACTCTCTTTCTCGCTGGGGCGTGGGGCGTAGAGCTTGGCACGCTGGGCGTGGGGCGTTGGGCGT